TTTATTTGTTTTTAAACCAGTTGCAGAGCTGCTGCTGGCACTGAGGGTGAGCCTGATTGTGCAGGTGCAGTTTTAGAGTAAGAACAGTCCCCTGGCACAGGTAGGAGTTGGAATGGCAGGGTCTGTCACAGCAGCTCAGGCTTACACATCTGACTTTGTTGTTTCTGACTGATATTAGTATGTGTGTGAAAGCTGCAAATTGGTTTATTTATTACTTTTCTTTCAGAAAGGCAAAGAAAAATGCAGAGGCTTTGGCAAACTCTTCAGAAAAGAGGCAGGCTGGTGGCCTGCAGGCTGCAGAGTCACCTGAGGGGGAAGCTGAAGGCCCAGCTGCTGAGCATCCTCTCCCAGAGCCCAGACTCCCCTATCCATTTACCTCTTGTTTGACTGAAAAGGAGCAGAAGACATACTTGTACCTGATGACTAAGTTCTCAGACAAAAGAAACCATTTCCAAGTTAATGAAGCAAGTCAAAGGGAATTTTTCACATATATGGTAAGATATGAACATATGACATCACAAGGGGAGTCCTACAATTTTTTTTTTTTCTTACAAAGAATATAAGAGAGGGGGAAAACTTGTTTTGAGTTCAATTTGTCATAAAATTCATGGTTTATGAAAAGTAATAAAGGTTTGAAGTACTTAGGATAGGGTTTATAATAGATATTGCAAATGTATTTGGTAATTTCATTGAAATTGGGGTTTTGGGGCTCTTTTGTTTCGTTGGGGTTTTTTTAAAGTAATCTAAACAACTGAGGATAAGTGTAGATCTTAAGACAACTGACCAAACATCCCCCAGTCCCCAAAAAACCCCTTTTTTTTTGCTGAGGAGGAAGTTTAAAGTTGTCCTTGCTGTGATTTTAGCATTTCATGGTTCTGTAGCAGCCTGAGGCAGTGTGAGGCTGTGGGTACCCTTTGCTGTGCTTGTGGCCAGGGAGGGCTCTGGGTGCTGCCCTGCCCTCTGTGTCCCCCTGCTGCTGAGCTCTGCCCCCTTTGTGTTGCCTGGGAGCATCATTTGAGTTGAGTCCTGTAAAGTGTAATTAATCAGCAAATTGTTTTAAACCATTGCATTTGCTTTCCCATGCTTCCTTGTTTAATGCTGTAACAATGGGAATATTGTTTCCAGGCACATCAGTATCTGCTGTGTTGTTGTGATTTACAATTTCTCATGAAATCAGAACTCTTTGTGACTTTGTGGTGTAAACTTCAACAACCATGTCTTATAACCTCTCTATTTCTACCTCTGTATCAAAGGAAACTTGCTGTTTGTTGGGGATGGTGTGTTGCTGGTTTGGGATTTTTTTAAAGGAAACAGGCCTTGCAAAAAGTTTTTTTACTGAAGTGAAACTGAACACTTGTCAAATTGAGTAGCAAGTGGAATTTTTCCTTCCCTCATATCATTACCTGTACTGTCTCTCTGGAAATTTTGTTGCTTACATGTCTAGTATAGAGGATTCTGTTTTGTCTTAAAAATAGTTTTTTCCTTCCCCCAGCAAATGAAAGAAGTAGTAAGCAATGAAATTGCAGAATTTATGAAATTTGCCCAAAACGCTGCAAAGAGCTGTGCCCAGGATTATGATGCCATCTCTGAGGATGCCCTACGTTACACTGAGGTAATTACCAATGCCATGCTTCATTCCAGCCCTTCTTAAAAACCATCTTGGCATCATGATGAGGACAGGCAGCAGTGCCCATGGTGGTGGGGCTGCCTGCCCTGCTGCTTTCTGTTGGGGTGAGATGGGGAAGTGGCCATTGCCCCTCTGCACAGGGGGCTGGGCTTCATTGGAACCAAAAGAGGTCCTACAAGGAATCACTGCAAACATATTTATTCATCAAATAAATCAATTGCTTCTTTCTGTTCAGGAAAAGAGAAGCTGCATTCTAAGTGTGCATTTCCATTAAGAAGTGGCTCCTAGATACAGATATAAATATAGATATAAATATAGATATAAATATAGATATAAATATAGATATAGGTAGCACACACTGCTGGGCAGAATGTGAAGCTTACCTCCACAGCAAAGCTTAGGAGCATGTCATAAAGTGACTGTAATTGGAAGTTACTGAGGCTTTAATCATAACCCTCTGCTAGTTCATGCTGTGTTAAATATCCACTTTGATGATTCGGAGATCAAACATGAATGCAACTTCATGCATCATTCTTGGGTTTTTAGCACGTTTTTGAAAAAAGTTCATTAAACCTTCTCATTACTGGCTTAACACAGAGTTTGGGCACATGTGAAGACAAAGATCTTGCTTTCTTTTTCTTTGCACCCTGAATATTTGGATTGGCTTTGCAATTTTGTATCTTGTCATCTGGTCACAAAATGTGTCTCCAGACTTCAAGTCGTGTTTATTGTTGGTACCCTGACTTAAAAATGAAATAGAGGCCTATGTTTTGTTTTAACCAACTTTCAGAAAGCACTCTTTCTAGTTGCCAAATAAAATCTAAATATCCTAAATACCTAATTCAGATTTTGTAACAATTATGTAGAGTTGTCAGGACAGTGAGTTTCAACACAAATGGAATCATCCTGTGCCTTTACCTTTGTGACTTTTGCCTAGGCTTAGTGTAAGCTGGGTGGTAACACAAGAAAATATTCCTTCCTCTAAAAACCAAGATAAATAACTAAAAAGAAAATTACCTATTTAGCACATTTCAGACTGTACTAAACTGCATGGTTTTAATTATTGGCCTGAGTTGTGTGCTTACATTGTCAGCCTTGCTTATGAAGGGCTGGGGAGAATCTGGAATACATTGCAGTTCTTGTAGCAGTGATTGTGAGAGTATCATAGATCTGAATTGGTACCTGTAAGTTTTTAAATGCACCTTGAAATTATAGAAAACACTTTTCAAAATTAAAAAATCCTCCCAAAATCCCCCATTCTTATGAAAGACACAAATGCATACATGATTATTCTTTTTTGTGTTAGGAATTGCTGCGTGCATGCATTGGGCATGTGCAGAAGTATCCAGAGGTTTACACCCTGCAGGAGATCACGAGCCTCATGGGAGGAAAGTTTCACACACAGCTGACCCTTAGGCTGGAAAAAAATCTTCTTGCAGTGGTAATGCCTTCTGTACTCAGATTGGGTTTGTGGGGGTTTCAGTAAGTGCAATTACATCACAGTTGTGTTAAGCAAGGATTAGGGGTTTTTGCAACTATTACCAGTCTTTGAGTTAGGGGTTATACTTTATAATTTAAATCATTCATTAAAACTTCAATAAAATTATTTTGGTAGTAAGTCTGTTAAGCCTTTTCACCGGATGTTTGCCCTAAAAAGATTACATTAATAGTGTGTTTTCTCTTATGTAATTTTATACTGGACCTGTGTAAATTTCTAATATTTTTCTTCATCAGAAATGCAGTGTTGGGTGAGCAGGATTGCTGTGAAAGCTGTTTTGTGATGCTGCTTGATTTCCCCAGGGTACAGCAAGACGTGCTAAAACAGATTTCCCTTCCATGCCTGTTCAGCTGCCCACAGACTATGGCACTGTTACATCTATGATAACCCCAGAAAAAAAGGCTCATGTGATGCATCATGTAAGTAACCCTTTTGTTGTTATTTTTAAGGCATCTTTTGTACACAAGTGCAATCTGATCTTTTTATGTGTTGAACAGTTTTTAGACTGCATTGGACCATTAAATAGCTGATATTTCTGTTTGTGTTCTACGGGGAAAATCAGGGAGTTTTCATACTGGAGAACTGAGGGTTTTGACTGTTTATTCCACATAACTTTTCCTCAGCTATTTTAAGGAGTTTCTTCACATATTAAAAACCAAGCTTTCACCAGCAGCACTGTGATTTCAGAGACACTTGCTGAAAGAAGGAGCAGAGGTGATGCAGGAGAATGGTATAAGCCTCCAGGCTGTTCAACAGAGCCCTTGTGATGGTGGCTGAGGTGGCAGCAAAAAGAACACAAGACCATAGCTGGGTTTTTCTTGCTTCTCTCATGTCCTCAGTGCTCCTGGGCTCCCTTTATCTTCACAGTCCTTGGTTGGGTTCTTCTGCCTCATGAGCATGCCCAGCCTCCTTCCTTCATGGAAATATGCACTTGTAAAATTTAACAGTTTTATTATTTCAGTTCTGAATTTGTGTTCTTGAAGAGTTTATATTTGTTTTAAGGTTCTTTATATCTAACTGGTGTTGGAACAACTGTGCAGTTTTAACCATTCTTCAGTATTAATGTCTTTATTGTGCTGTTGGTTAACTCATAAGAAGCTCTGTAGTGTATATTTGGGAGTTAATCTGGTTTGGGGGATTTTTTTTTTACTTCAGCATGTTCCTGTATTTCATGATTATCTAAATTCCTGTACAACCTAGTAATTCAAATGTATTGAAATTAACTGAAAATACAAGTTAAAAAGATGTATTTTCTTATGCTGCAAAGTGAATGCATTAGATTGAGCTAAAAACCTTCAGGGAAATTGTTTTTTCTTTCATTTCCTTTGAAGCCTGGCACTGTGGTAGTCTTTGGACTTTTTTGGGGGGTAGGGGTTGTATGTATCCATTTTTTGTTGAGTTTGGAGTTTTTCTTGTAAATTTAAATTTATGTGTATTTCTTAAAAGAAGAACTTTGGAAGAAATAACTTCTTTCTCTCTTTAGGATATTAGTTCAGATTCAAATGCAGAAAAACTTGCTTTGAAATATTGTCCCCAAGTTGTTTTAAGTAATCAATCATTATTTACTCTACTGAATAACCATGGACTGAACTACAAGGAGCAGTGGGAAATTCCAGTTTGTGTTAAAATGATCACTGTTGCAGGTATGGGATGTTTTTGTTATTAAAACTGTGGGGGGGTTGTCCAAAGAAGCTGGAAAGCTGATCCATGGTCACTGGATGGTGTTTCCTGTACCTTTTCCATCTTGCTGCTGGGAATAGGAACAACCTCTGCAGTTGGTAAATGTTGAATTTGGGCATTCAGCTCTTTTCCACCTGGGGGAAAAAGCAAAAAAAAAAAAAACCATTAGAACCAGTTTTGCTTTTCAAAACTCTAAGCTGTTGCTCTTGGAAATAAAACAACTACATGAATCTGTTAAAATTATCAAGTGAACTGATTTCAGTAAAATAAAAAACCAGAGAAATTCTGAAATTTCATGAAAAAGTAAAGAGCAAACCTTTTCTGGAATTAAAAGGATGTAATTACATCACAGAACAGTAAATAAGGAATGAATGTCCATGAAGATAATTTTTTCAATTGCAGCAGAAAATGTTTTATAAGCTGATGAACTCACCCGACTGCTTTGCTTTACTTGTCAAGATTACTTCAGTAATCTGAATATAAATTTCCTCCCTTACACTTTTTTTTTTAACACAGTATGGTTTATTCAAGTATCTCTAATGTTTGTTGTGTTGGAATGTCCTTCTGTGCTTCGAGCACTAGTTTCTATAGCAGACTTGCAGACAGTAAATAAGCTATCAAATACCTGCAACATTTCCAAATTTTCATTTTCCCATGTAAATTAAATGGCTTTATCAGGAAAGAGAAAGCCTGACTCCTTTTGTAGCAGCATTACAGTTTTAAAGCCTAATTTTTGGACCCAGAATTAACACCTGAAGGTCATTCAGGTGGTGATAGAAATACATAGAGGTTCTGGAAGGGTTTCCCTTTGCCTTCCTTTTCCCCTTTTCCCTGTAACCGACCCCTTGCTTTAATTTCCTTTTGTTCACAAACCAGGGACACTCTGGGCACTGTGTTCACCCTGTGCCTTGGCTTTCTCTGCTGGGATGGGCAGGGCATTGCTTTCATTTCTGGGGGACTCAGATGTAAAAGTGTGTTTAGGTCAAACAAAGGAGTGGGGCAGCAGAGCCTGAACAGAGTTCACTGATTAGAGAGAAATAAACTGCAGCTATCACTGGCAGTGAGACTTAAAAGAAGAACTGACTTTCAAACAAGGAAGAAGAAAAGATCTTTTTGGAAAACAGAATACATTTGATGAGATGATGCTGTATAGGAAATGATGAATCCTCAGTTCTTATTTTGCAAATTCTCTACTTAGAACTGCATTTGAAATATGCTCAGCTGTTAATGTGGTGAGTATTGCTGCTGCAGGATCACAATAATTCACACCTTATCTGGACATACTTTTATCTTCTGTTGTTAATGAATGAAAGGATCATTTTTCATTTCTTCTGGTGTTATGTGCAGTGGATTTGACTGTAATTGGAAGTTGAAAGATTTATTATTTAAATTATAGCACAGTCTTTCTTCCTTTCATTTAATATGTACTCTTTTCATTCTGGGGAAGGTAGCAAACCAGCTAAAGTGGTTTATGTTGATCCACCTCTGCTGAGAAAAGAAATGACAGTACGAGAGAGGAATCAAATGTTCCATGAAATTCCAATGGATTTCCTAGCAACTAAAACATCTTATGTTCCAATTTCTGATGTGTCAATGGACAAACCAGCTGAGGACAGCCTGCTTCAGTGGGATGTATGTAGATTCACATATTCTTAAAAATAAGCAAAACCAAAACCCTGTTAGAGTTCCTGAGTTGCTTTTCCTGTGATAAAGGGAAATTAAGGTTTTCTGTTGGTGGTTTTTCTGTTGTTGAGTTACAGACCCTGTGTAGTTCTTTTAAGTGCTCCTACATGGGCATCTCAGCCTTAATATTTACTTCATTAAAATGTCTTTTGATCAGTTTGCTTCAGTGGAAGAAGTTTTGTGAACTTTTACTCTTTAGAAAGGCCTTTAAACTTGGGTCCCTTAAATAGGACCCAAGATATTCAGTGGTAAACAAGAACAGTTGTTTTTCAATTGTTGATCCTGTTTCCTAACAGTGAAATATGGATGGTAGAACATTTTTTTTATGTTTTCATTTCAGCAATGTCTCATTTCGTGGTTTAATTGTTTTGGCCTGTTTTAATTTGATGACTTTCTCATCCCTGTGGTAAGGTGTGTCCTGACACCTACCAGTGCAGGACAGTTCCTCCTCCAGATGACTCAGGGATGGACTTCGATGATGATCTTACAGAGCTTGAAACGTTTGGAGCAACAACCAAGCTCTCAAGGACTTGTAAAATGGAAACTGCTTGTCCTACAGCTAGTAACACTGCTAAAACTCTGTCTCATGGCCTAAAAGTGTGGGGGAAGAATTCATCAGCCATAAGCAGAGGAGGTGAAGAGGAGAAAACCCCCCTTTGTGAGCAAGAGCCTTCAGCACGTGCCAGCGTGCAGCTTCCACCGGTGGATGGCGTTGCAGGCTGCAGCCCTCAAGGACACTCTCCTTGGAAAAGCTCTCAGTCAGTGGAGGTAGGGCTGGGCAAAGCACAGCATCTCATGGCCAAGGAAGTATTGGACAATGAAACAAAATTAAATCCTCTGCCTGTTGCAGTGAGTTGTGAGCAAGAGCCTGGTGGTGCTCAGAAGAGAGAGCCTTGCACTTCTTTCTGCAGCAGTGACACGGATGAGGAGCGCTTGGTGATTGATGCAGAGTGTGACACCCCAGCTGTGCCACCAGCTGCTTCCTCTGCCTCAGCAGAGACTGCCAGCTCTCCTTGCCCTGCCCAGAGCCCTGCAGCAGGCAGCACTGACTGCTCCCATACCACACATCGGGGCAAAAGAGCCTCCAAGAAACCTCCAAGGAAGTTAGCCAGAGAGTTGGATCCTGTCGGGCAAATTTTGAAAATGCAAACTGAACTCCTCAAGTCCCCTTCCCCAAAAGCTCCTGAGCCAGTGGTGAGCTGGGATAGCTGTGATGCTGTGCCAGCCCAGCTGCCTCAGTCTCCAAGGGCACTGGTGACCTCCAGCTCAGAGGCTGTGCCAGCCCCAGCCTCCAGTGCCACCAGCTCCTCTAGGAATACCTGGACGTGGCTTTTTGAGGGAGTGCCAAAGAGTAAGTGTGCTCATTGTGCAAGGAGGAGAATTGGCCCCAGTGTGTCAGTAGAGCATCTCACATCTATTTAGAGAAGTGCCTCAAGTTAACAGTGCCTTTTCTGTGTGGGAATTACTGTCTTGCACACAGAAGGGAGCACTGGGAGCTGTTTGTCCACAGAGGTGAATGTGAAATACTGTTTTACTGTAGAGAAATAAGTTATGCACAAGGTTTTTAAGAAGAGAAATCATTTGGTAGTGGAATGAGTTCTTTTTGCATAGAAATTCAAATATTTGAGTAGCCTAGTCTGCAAAAGGAGTTTCTTGTCAATGAAAGGTAGAATTATTTAAATTTTTGTAGAATAAAAATAATCAAATTATGCAATTAAAAAGAGGGGGAAATTAAATTGGTATGTGTTAAGTTTTAAGCTTCCTGGTTCAGTCGCTGTTGCTTAACTCCCAGCACTCTGTCCCAGAGGGCAAATGAGGATTCACTACAATCCACCTCCCAAGTTTTCAGGCCATTAGCTGGGTATGGAATCCCTGCTGCCCCTGGCCCTTAGCCAGAATTACAAGTTGTGGAGATCCTGGGGACCATGGCCCTGGAGATTTTCCTCACATGCTCGAGTTGCATCTGAACTCTGAGCAGCTGAAGTTAGAAACACTTCACTGTGCTGGGTAACTGCAGGAAAGCAGACAGGTTGTGTCAGGACAGATGCTCTCCTCAGATATTTATTTCCAACAAATCCATGCTTATCTGTGGGAAAATGTTTGGTATTTCTGAGGAGGTGTGCATGTGATCATGTAGGAATTAATTACTTAATCTATAGGTTAACCATTAATTCTGTTCTAGTTGAAACTTTTATCACTTCCTATTGCATTAACTGAATTATCACTAGGACCATGTCTCCTCCCTCAGTTTGAAAGGCTGAGGCACAATGTTTTATTTCTCTCTGTTAAAAAGATGGAGCATAGAATTCAGATTTTAAAAGAATTTTTTTTAAATAAAGATTGTTAAACCAATATTGCCAACGTGCTGAAAAGTGACTGTGTAGGACTAGAAAGCCTAATTCTACAATTGGAAAGTTCTGTAACAAGCTGAGAAACCTCTTTGCATGTCTGTTTTGCACAAAGCCAGAATTGAGTTATAGATTTTACTAACAGAAAATTACTTCCAGTTCCTTGGGTAATATCTCCCACAGTGTGCATGCACATAAACTCTAAATGTAATGTTAAAAATGTGTTTGTTATAGCACTACAGCAATCCCTGTTTGTAGGCATAGTTTGGAGACACATTTCCACATATCTGCAGGACAAAAAGAGAGAATTGATGCATTTGCAGCAAACCAATTTGGAGTTTCTGTGTTCATTTGAAACATTTTGTTGAAATGTTTCTAAAGGTTGAAGGGATGTTTGTTAAGGTTCTCAAAGCTGCCCTGGGAGATGCAGTAGCAGCTTTTGGATGTTCTGGTGTCCAGACTGAACTCCTTGTGGTGGGAGACTGTGCTGCCCCCCAGACCTGAGAGCTGAGTTACTTCAGTGCCTGGTGAATGGATGGCAGCTCTCAGGAGCCACTCATTGCAGATCAATTTTATCTCTCCTTTGAGCTGAGCAAGTGTGGCTTAAAAAGCAGCTTTTGAACTATTCTGTACCAGAATGGAGTCTCACATTTGGAGTTCTCTTTGTGTGAGAAACTGAATGATGTGGGACTATTTAGAAGTAAATTCTTTAAGAGAAAATGTTTCCCAAATGTAATTATTTTCATTTTTTTAATATAAGAATTTTTTGTGCCTAACAAAGTAATTTTCACCCCTTAATCATAGGAAACAAAACAGATCCTAGAGTAAAAAAAAAAGACTGAACAAAAAACTACTGCAAGGGAACAAAGCTAATCAGCCTCATTGTAAAAATGTCCAAGCTTGACATTTTCTGCTTTATTCATTTTCTCCAGCAAAGCTGCCCAGTGCACTCCAGCTGCTTGAGGAAGACCCCTCAGAGTATGAGGCCCCTGAGGAGGGCAATGTTGTGTACAAGCTGTTCAGTTTGGATGATCTGCTGCTGCTCGTGCGCTGCAGTGTGCACAAAGTCAGCTCCCTGACACAATACCAGAAAAAGAAAAAAGCCCAAAAGGTAAGGGGTTAATTTTCAGCTGGCTTTGGTTTGTTTTTTTTTATTTTTTTTTAACAGTTGTGCTCAACTCTGAAATGTTGGCATTTCTGGGATTCCCAGTCCTTGACAGCATTTATGCTTTCCCTGAGACAGCTGGGACTCTGCAGTGTGTCCTCTGTAAGTAAATATTTGTTAGAGCAGGATGGGGAAGAATAACCTGTGATTTCTTTAAAGCTCCTTGATTAGAAGATAAGGAGGTGATTCTCCATTTTTTACTACAGTAATATGCCTGGGTAATGATACTTATGTAAAAAAAAAAGTAATTGTGAACTATTCTTCAAAGTGAATGCAGTAATTAGGGTTTGGCCCAAGGCTTTGAGAATGTTCATGACCATCAATTCTTTCAAGCAGGACTCAGCCTTGCTATAGTGCCTAGTTAAGCAGGGAAATAGGAGATACAATGAACAACAGAGAACCCAAAAAGAAATTCTGTTTGTTCTGCTTGAAAATACTGTGGCATTTCTTAGCAAATAGCTTGTCATGGAATTAAATGGTTTGAAGGCAGCTGTAATCAAAATACTCCTTGCAGCAAAGAGGAGGAAACTGTATTCTATATTTCCCAGTAATTTGTAATTTTTTTAAGAGTCCTGTGAATCATTCAGAAAATTTGTTGTGTATGTCCCTCCTGAGAATCCCAGAATTACAGCAGGCAGGTGTTTTGTGAGCTGTTTGTGCTATGTTGAACTGGAAATCATCATTGGAACACTGATTACTTGCCAAGAGTCTGTGCTTGGCATCTTGCTTTGAAGAAATCCCATCTTTGTGCTATTGATCCACTGCTTATAAATGCCTGGGAATAACTGCTTCATTTTCCAGAAACCAGTCACTTGGTTTTGTTTATTTTTTTCAAATTTCTGCTTAAATTTAGGCTGGGGGTTGTCAGTGAGGAGTGGCAGTGCTCCTTAGGGTTAACTCACTAGTTAGGGTTGCATCTGATTTCAAATGAGACTCCAAGCATTAAGTTCTAATTTCAAGTGAGATTCTGACAGGAGTGAGAAATAGCAGAATTTTGTTAATAGTGGGCTAATTAGAAATGTTGTGTGTTTTTTCTTAAATTGCTGCAGAGGGCAGTAGAGCACAGAAGTGTAAACTTGAAATTAATTTAGTCACATGGAACAATTACTAAGTGTCAGAATTTTATTATTCCTTGTTTATTATTTGCCCAGACCTTGTTTTTTCTTTTTTTCTCCCCTGTCAATTTTACCTTTCCCTGTATAAAGTCTCTGTACTCCCAAGTTTGTACTGTGGATTTCACAAATTGTGAACCTTCAAACAAAATCTCTGAAATGGCTTTGTTACTTCAGCTATGGTAGAGAACTGTGATTATTACAAACTGCAAAATGTACTAAATTGTGGAATATTTTTGGACAGTGAGTGCTAATTTTTCCCTTATCTTTTCTTTTGCAGCCAACTCCCATATTCCTGTTGCCAAAACTGGAGTACCAAGCCTACTATGGTGTGGAAGCTCTTACAGAAAGTGAAGTGTGCCAGCTGTGGACACAGAGCATGCTGCATTCTAAATGCTTGTTTTATGTTGGTAAGTTCCTGTCTTGAGGTTTTGCTTAAGCCACATGCATGTGTGAGTATTTGTAGAATAACAGGAGAGATAAATATTTATTAAAGGTGTATTCCATATATCCTTTCTTATTTTGACTTTTTATTTTTGCTTTTTACATCGATCTTCAGACAGTTTTTTGTCTAAAATTTCTGTTGGGTGCTGGATGAGGAAATTGCAGCTTTGGTTTTAGATAAATAGTATCAATGTCCTGTAGAAAATGCTGCTTTCATGTTTGTACAATGACATTTTAAAAAGTCTGGGAAGTTTTTATCTGTTGAGATATATGTTGTGTATATTATGAGAAATTAAAATGATAGCTATAAGGAATGTAACCAGATTATTTTTACAACCGTTTAATATATGGTGAGCTTTCTGACACCAATTATTTTGTAATGAATATGATTTTTAAAAGGAAAATTTGCAAGAAGTGGTCAGTTGATACTTAGAAGGTGCTTGGCACATGCTGCTGAGTGAGGGCAGTCCTGTTTGTGCAGGGAGGGGATGTTGTGCAGTGGGATTGCTTTGCTGTTTTTGTAGAAACAAATCTGGGTTTGGGTTGTTATGGCAGCACTTGTGGCCTGTGGTTGCTTAACCTTTCCACTTGTGCACTGCATTACACTTTTGCTGTTGTTGGCTCACATCAGAATGCTATTTTAGAAATGCTAACTTCTCTGTTTCCCAGTTTCTAGGCAAGCTCCCATAGAATTATTGGGACTATGTGAAATCTATTGCATTTGCCAATTGTATCCTGGTCTGCTCTCTTAATTCAATGGAAATTATATTGCTAATTTTAAACTTTAAAAGCAGTATTTGGTGTGGTTTTTCCATTCCATTAAAAAGAAATCATTACTAATTATGTGCAGGGTTCTCTGTAACTGTATGCTAATGTACAGTAGAGGCCTTGCTTGTCTCCAGCAAGCAGAGCACTGTCTGAGGGCATGCTGAGTATTCACTGGGGGTGTGTCCCCACACTGAGCTGCACTGCCCTTGGGCTTCCTGCAGGAACTGTTATCCAAGTTTTTATGAACATTTCTGGAGTGGCAAGCAGTGTGAGGAAACGGTGACCTGTGGAGGGAGGGCTGGTGTTTGTAAAGGAGTGAGTGTCCATCTGATCTCCCAATACAGGAAATTGGCTTGCACAGGACTTTGCAGACAGCTCATCCAGCCACCACCTCTTTTTAAGGAGCTTCTTGGGAGTGCAGGAGGCAGCAGGATGGGTGTGCAGGTGCTGTTGCAGATGAAGAGCCACAGAGCCCTCCCCTTCCAGCTCAGCTTTCCTGTGACTCCTGGAGCTCCCTGCTGGCTGTGGAGCTGGCAGTGCCCTGGGCTGGCCTGCAGCACATCTCTGTTGCCATGCTTGGGATCAAGTCAGCAGTGCTTCTCAATCCCAGGGATGTTCCATTCGTGTTGGTTTGTCAGTTCCTGCAGCTGCACTGCAGAAGCCGGGCCTGGGGCACACAGGAGTTCTCCTGTGGGCTCTGAGGGCTCTCTGGGCTGTCTCTGTCCTGCACAGTAAATGGGTGCTCCTGGCCTGGGAGGCAGATTCTTGGTACTGCCATGTAGTTTCTTACAGAATAGGTAAAAAAATACCAGTAAATATCCATTCTATGAAAGAGCATCTCCCACAGTTTTTAATAGGCAGCTGTTATCATATTCTACATGGGGAGTTTTCTGCCCTTGGTATTTTGCAAGGTAGTTGTGAAATTCTGCCTTTCAGATTGTGTTCTTAAGGGAGCTGTGGAAAATGCAGTGTTGCACTCAGATTTACTCAGAGGGCTCTCTGCAGCAGAGAGCTTTGTCCTGAAACTGCAGGGACAGTTCTGAGGGTGATGATACCCTGGTGGTATGGACAATTTAAAATGGGCTGAATCTCTCTTTCTGTGTCACTAATCTGATACCTGATAGTGAGACTGCTGCAGTGATCTGCTCAGTGTAAGGAGAAAGGCAGGGAGCTTCTGCAATCATGCTGTAATTTGAATATTTTAAGTGAAAAGCTGTGTTCTATAATAAAAGAATTTTTCAATTGAACATTTTGTAAAGACAAAGTTACTGCTCTTTTTGAATTTGCCTCACAGTATGAGTGTGGAAGTGTGGAGCAACATGGTTTGAAAACTATTATCTTACTACAACTTGCATTCTTGATCAGACAGTTAGTTAAGCCTTTAACTTTTAAATTTTAAGTGTGTAGCAGACTTCAGTGCTAAACTGCATAGGCGTTTTTGGCTCTTGGAAAAGCTTAATTTTCTGTCTCAACCATCTCTTGTATTGCCAAGTAAGTATGGAGGAAAAGTTCTTTGGACCTTGGTCTGTGCCCCACAACTGTCCAGCAGTGTTGTGTGGGACAGAGGGAGGATCTCAGCTCTGCTGTGACTCAGGGTTGGGACAGAAATCAGATGTGTGACCATGGCCTCCAGCAGCAGCTGCAGGGGGGAAATGAAGCTGAGGTGGTTTGTTCAGGATGTTCTCTAAAAGCAGAGACAGCATCAGCAAACAGAGAGCTCTGCCTTCCTCCTGCTGGCAAAGCACCTGCCTTGGCTGTCAAGGCCCCTTGCTGCTCAGATAGGAAATGCTCTGTCTGCAAAGGCAGTGATCTCTGTGACAGGCTTCCCAAATAAGGCACTTGTACTTGTCTGAGCAGTAAATAAACTTGTGATAAGCTTTGCTGATTAATAGCAGCATTTTACCCTGAGCATTACTCACTTATTTGCATTGAGTGCCTAAGCAAAATTTTCTGCAAGAACAGTTTACTTTCACATGAATGGAATAATATTGGACTTTAAATTAACATTATTTGAAGAATGGGTAGGAAAAAAAATACTTAGTCTTGGGTAACTTACTACATGTCAAGTATTTTCAATCAGTCACTTCTCCAATATAAGATATAGTTATATAAACTAGTTGGAAGTAGTTCATAGATATTTTGTAATTACTATTTTTTCCCAGTTATGTTATGAGTGTGTTTAGAAGTAGAGAAGTTTGATTTGAGGAGAGGCTGGTGAGGAATACAGAACTCAAACACATTTTTTTAAAATTATATTTTTAATAATGACTTCAAGCCTCTTTTTGTAGTCAGCAATGTAAAATACAAAATTTTGCTGCTTAGTCTTGCACAAAATACTGATATCAAGAGAAGTAACAAATGTACAATATTTAAAAGAAATGGGTTGTCCTGGTGCATCTTTTTTAATTTGTTGAAGTGAGAGTTATTGCTTAATCTTCTTACACAGCACATAAACTTAGTGATGGCTAGCTTGGAATGTGAAATGCTTTGATTTAGCAGTTGTATCTGTGCAATTGAAGCATTTACACTTCCTAAGAGAGCAGATTTGTAGTAAGACAGTAAATTCCAGAGTAGGCTGTATTTTATTATGCTGCCTTTTCCTCATCCTCCTTCTGGGAGCTGAAATAGAATAGATTTCTGGGAAAACCTCAGCATGGAAAGAACCAGAAGGCAAAGTACAGTAGATAAATCCATGTCCAAGCTATGCTGGTGATTCTTATTGCTCATCAAGTGAAATGTGGACTAAAATGTCCTTGGCAGCCTTTATTTTAAAAATGTAATGAGAAGAGCTTTGAATTGTTGCTTCTCACTGCGTCAGAGTTGTTAAAGACAACTTGCCATGATCAAGGCCTGACGTGTAAATTGTAATTCCTCAGGTAAGGAAGGGGGGGGAAAAATCAAGAGACAAAGCATCCCTAGAAAGTCATGCAATAGATCAGAATGGAAAAGCAAGTATGTTAAATGCAAAAGTAAATCTGTTGCTAAAGATCAGCTTTTGGGATCCAGGAGGAAGCAAAGGATGAAATGAACTTGAGGAAGCACCAGGGAGTGATGAGATCAGGGCTGTGTCCCACCCAGCAGCCAGGATGGGAGGTTTGGAGTCAGGCTTGGTTTGGAAGGACAGGGTACAGATGCCTGTGCTTAAAGCAGCTGCACATTTTACTCTCTATTATGGTGCAACATTGATAAGTACTTTGCACTGTTCAATGCCAAAAGAGCAAAGTTTTTTTTATCCTTCTAAAAAGGTCTGCAAATTATGCTCTTATATTTGTTTGGTTTTATTTTTAGTGTGTTAATTGAATTCCTTTTTTCAGCACATATTGATGCTTTTACATCGAAGCTTATTATGCTAGAAAAGATTTCTTCAGCAGCTTTAAGAGAAAAACTTGGACTGATTAAGTGAGTGTTTTTATTAACTTTTTAAAGCAATGAATTTCAAACCCTGACAAGCCTTGCAAGTTACTACTTCTGCAATTTTTTTCTTTCACAGACCTGCAAATTCCTTAAATATACTTCATCATGTTTTGAAGAAGGTGTCCAAGTAAGTTCTCAATTTTTGTTCATTGTATTTGTTTGCCACATTGCCCAGCTCATCCTGTTTCTTCTGTAGAATATTTGTCTACTCCCATTTTTATTTCTTCATATACATAAAGAAATTTATATTTTACAGGTTCTGTTAGGTCTATCATAGCATAATACAGTAGTGTGTAAAATGTGCTTGGTGCTACAAGGTTTGCATAAATTATGCAAAAGAATAAGAACTTGAGGTTTGTGAACCAGTTTTTCCAGAGAGCAAAGTGGACTCTTAGGAGCTGAGTAAACAGTTCCCAGGAGTGAGGTGTAATGTTGGGCTGACACATGGAGTTTGGGTGTTGGGTTTTGGCAGTCTGTCTTTCTGCTTGATCTGTAGGAATAACCCTGCGTTCATTTCTGCTCACCCTGACTTGGAGCAGCTTTTCTCTGTACAACATTGCAGCCTTTTTCTTGCTTCTTCCCATTGCTGCTTCAAGGCTTGCAGCCTGCAAGTGTCTTCACTTTTTTGGTGAAGCCTTTTCATTCCAATTAGAGGGCTTTTCCTGCTCTTTATAATTTCTGCAGGTTCATGATTTTTGACTTAAGATTTTTGGTGTGGGCAGTTGGTTGAACCTCATCTTCCTGATTAAACCTGTTTAATCCTGTGGGTGTTGAAAGCTCATCTGTTCTGTGTGTCTGTGTCCACATTGTTCTTTGTGAGATGCTGCTTAAGGAATTACAGTTTGCCCAGCATGGATGGTTTTCAGTGTATGCTTACATGTTTAGATGAATGTGATGACAGTCTGTACATTGTTGATAAATTAGTACATGATGAATACATTATAAACACATTAATTAGTAGGTATTTATCAATACAGCTTAATTAATGCTTTCTTGTGCACAGTCTTTTTTATAAAACATCTAAAGGGACTAAACATCTCGAGATGTTCTGTTTTTGCATTAAGACCAAATAAAAAAGCTCCAAAAAACATTTAAATAATATTTTTCATTTGGAACTTCTCTCATTCTAGTTTGGAGGAGGGCTCTTATTTATTGACTCACGCTGCAGGAGATTCCTCAGTTGCAATTTACAGGAGTTCTCTTGACAAGAGCACGAGATCATCCTACAACCTGCACAAAGCTCACTGGGGTCTGCCTGCTGTCCCTGCCTCTCTCTCGGTGCCCTGGGTTCCCCTGGATCCCAGCCTCCCTTTGCCCTACCACCTCCTTCATGGCAGAGTTCCCTGCACCTTCCCACCTGCACCCTGGCAAGGCTGCAAACAGAAGGTCAGTGTCTCACTTGGTGGAAAAGCACATCAGCAGTTTAGGAATAACCTATTTCAGTCCCTTGGGGTACAGCTGATTATTGAAGTTGGAGGGGAGACGACCCACCTTGCATTGGTCAGCCATTGACTCCAATTTATTAATCAATCAGGCACTTTTTATAACAGTGTTACTCAAGTTCATGCATATTGCAAAATCTGAGCTCACAATAGGTCAGATATAACACACCAACCCCTCCTTATGTTTCCAATACCAAGATTTGGGTTCTCAAAATTATTCTTGCTTTCCCAAAACAGCCAAAGATACAACATCCACTTGTTATGAGAAAGCTGCCTGAGAACTCTGATGTGCAAGGCTCTCAAGGCCTTCATGTTTGTCACTTTTACCTGTAATTAAAAATAACCTGAGAACCTCTGCTGTTCACAGAAACAGGCTGTGAGAACCTGTCCCTCACAGCTGCCTTCTAGGCCATCCCTGAAAAAGTCTCCAACAGCTGATGGAGTTTATCTGTCATCTTTGGGGGTCAGAAATTTTTTGGGAATCCATCCAGCTTGGTAATTTGTGTTGGTGAATAAGTGATTTCTGTCATGCTTTGAAATTTCCCAACGATCCTGCTCTCCCCTCTGTTATCTTTGAGATAGTTTGACCCTTTAAAAGTAATAAAATTTTCAAGCATTATTTTTCTTCAGCAGAGAGACATTTGTGTAGAAGCCATGTGGTAACTGTGCCAGCTTTGTGCATTGTGAGTTGGTTTTAGCCACTGCCCTTCATATGAGGGCAGAGTTGTTGTGCATCCATTCCTAATTAGCTTGTGCACTTTGCTTTCTGCCAGAAGGAAATGCAGGCAAGAGGCAGGACTGGTCACTGCTCAGTGCAGCCTGTGAGCAGCTGTGCCACTGCAGATGTGCCTGTGGGTCTGTTGGAAACCACATGAATTAGAAGGCAGTTGTCTGAATGTGGTTGTGTGTGTTTGTGCTCAGTGCAGATTGAAGGTGATTCATTCTGGTCATTCCAATTTCGTTTTCTGAGTTGTTTTTTTTTCCAATTCTCTCCCCTTGTGTATGTAGATGGCAGGGGTGAAAGCACAGCTGGACACAGCCCACGAGGGAAGGCCAGGAGCCAAAGGCAAGCCAGCCAAGCCTGCTAGAAATGAAGGTGTGGCTCCAAAGAAGCTGAGGCAGAATTTCTGCAAGCAAACAAAAGTGAAGAACAAGTGGAAAACTAAATTCAACAAAATGCAACCGAAGTAGGAATAAGCCTGGAGAAGAACAAGAGGACACAAAAAAATCTGAGGTTTCTTGCAGCTTCAGAGGAGCCAGAGCAAGCTGGCAGGGGAAATGGCTCCAATGGCTGGAGCATTCTGTAAACCTGTAACCCTTTGCTACCTCAGGGGACATGTTTCAAGTGAAAATCTCAAAATCTCAAATAAAAAAGAGGTAAAAAAGGATGTGGCTGCAGGCACTAGGCTGGTTATGGGGAGCAGTATCTTCTGTTGGTCTGGTGACTTTTCTATAAAAGCTGCATCTTGAGTGGAGCAGTGGCTGACAACAACCTCTAATAGCACATAACCAGAAAAAGAGCTTTTCAGCTTTCCCAGTTCTTCCAGATTCACTACAGATTTTAAAGATATATTTTACTTTGTGCATTTGTACAGATTTTAAAGATACATTACTTTGTGTACAGGAGGAACAACTTGGATTTAACTATTTACTTTTTTGACACATGGTGTCTACTGGCTTTTAACAACTTTGAAAAATACAATTTTCTTTTTAGAATGGTGTAACAAATGAAGGACAAAAGCTGGATGTATTTAAGTAGTAAGGGCCATAAATTTGCATTGGAAAACTTAAAAGTGCAGCTAAACAAGTAAAATAATAACAGGAGAGCTGCATTTTTGCATGTTTAAACTGCTGTCACAAAAAGCAAAGGTCTTGAAGGTGTTCTTCCAAGTCTTTTGTTTGGAATGAGGAAGTTACCAATCTGATCAAGCATTCTTCTGCTCACTGGGACTTGATAGGACATGTTTTAATGTCATGAGGGTAAAAATAAACAAAAAGCTTTACTGGAGTATAGCTGCTGAAAAATCCTGAATGTAGGGATTTTTTTGAAATCAGGCTTCAATAATGAATATATATTAAAAACTTCTTTGTGAAATACAAAGCATTTTCTGATGGCTTTTTTCCAACTGTTAGATGTATTTATTCAGTTATTCAGTTTATTCCTTTTTTTGGACCACTGCTTGTTTTATCTCCAGTATTGATAAGCTGAACTTGTGTTTGTAATTTACAAATAGTTCTGATTCAAAATCCTAAATGCCTTTAGAGCCTCCTCATAATAGGAATACTTTAGCTGTGAGTCATTTTTCCCAGATAACTGACTCTGTCTGGGGGATTCAAGGAACTGTTCAGTTTGTTTATATATAAAACTTTTTGCCAGACTTGTTTGGAATTTGCTTTCCCAATGCAGTTTCATGAGGAAGAAATGTATGGTCTGTTTGTTCATCTGTCTCTGTGCCTTTTACCTTACACTGGTACATGACTAATTAAAGTGTACTAATTGTAGAACTGCAGTGGTGTGCGTGTTGTCACGGGTTTTTTGGGTGTGAGAGAGAGATGTGAGTGTTTTTTTTCTGTTCTGGGGGGTTTTTTTTTTTTTTTTTGTTATATATGTTCTGTTTTATCTGTGTTCTAAGGGGTATAGGGGGAGTTTTTGGGGGGTGTGTCTGGTGTGAGCAGAGAGGAGAGAGTATCAGAGGGGCTCTCTGACTGTCACAGAGAGAGCTCGGTCCTTGATTGGCCATTAATTGTACACATCCAAGATGGGCCAATCAAAAATTCACCTGTTGCATTCCACAGCAGCAGATAACCATTGTTTACATTCTCTTTCTGGGGCCTCAGCTTCCCAGAAGGGAAAATCCTAAAGGAAGGATTTTTATGAAAAGATGTCTGCGACACAGTGGAGCAGCCTGTGCTGCTGCTTGGCTTTGTTGCATTTTGGGTGCAGGGTTTCATCTCTGCAGAGGCTCCTGCAGTTCTTGTTGGCCTGGTCATGAGGGCTGTCCAGGTGTCTCTGTAGAGTGGCTCATCTGTCCCCTCTTCCCTCTTTGGTGTCATCTGCAAACTCCAGCAGAATTGACTTGGCCACGTTACCCAGCTTGCCACAGAAGCACTGAGTAGTGCCAGCCCCTGAGGGGCTCTGCCCATGACCAGCTCTCCTGCTTCAGCCTGGAGCAGCAAACACCAGAAATGGAGGAAGGTCTCTGAGCAGAGCTTTCCCTCTGGTGGGTGTCTGGTTCTCCCCATTCACTGGTGTTCATCAGGACATGAAATGGGTGGCTTTGTGTCACATTCAGACAGTTTGAGGTTAGTGTTGGAGGACTGGAGGAGATGAGTGACCTGGCATTTGAGGTGATTGGCCTGCAAAACCATGGAACTTTATCGGTTCTTTGTGTTAGTGCGAGTGGGTTATTGGCTGTGAATCTGACTTTTCTTTATTTCTGTAGTAATGAGAG